TTGACTACAAAATGTTTCCTGCTGTGGGTTAGAGTTGATTTAGTGTTGCTATTTAAATTGAGGAAGAGTTCTCTGAGTAGGAGGACTTAAGGGGAGGCTGTGCAAGTGAAGAAGTCAGGGAAAAAAGGCCCAAAAGGGGAAAGAAAGATCAACAGTTAGAATCATTCTCAGAAAATTAGAAAATGGCAAACAAGCAGCGAGACGTGAGATGAAGAGAACACCCTTTAATTACGACTGCTTTATGACTTGAATGACTTTATTTTTTTCATCAACAATCAGGAGAGAAACTCAACCTTAGAAGACTCAGCACAAGATGCAAACCTCCTACAGGCCTGAGAAATAGAGCACAAAGAGTTGTCAAATGAACAAACATCAGACTCTATCAAAATGATGGTCTCAGTGTTATTGAGCTGCATTCCACTTGCTGAAGACCAGACTGAAGGCAGAAGGACTTTACATCAGGTGTGAGCTGAGGGATGCTGCAGTGAAGTTCTGGGAGATCACCACCAGGGACGGAACAAAGCATCTGCTAATGTCTGTGTCGCAACTTCAGGGACTGTAAAGGATTTCCCACAAAATTATAAACATGCTGCTTGTGTAGGACCTCAAGTGTATTTGTCCAATTACCTGAAAACCCTTTTGGGCTAAATGTGTTAATATCACCTACACAGGTGTGAAGTTAAAGTTTTTATTTCAAAATGAATGTGCTAATGCCAGAAGAAGAAAAAAGTGTCACTGTTCATATATTAATGGTGTGAACAGTGTTTCCTCTACATTCATTTAGGAGCTGCGGCCACCATTCCTAAATCCTAGCCGCCGCTCCTTCAAATGTCTTTTTAAAATTATTTTTTATTTTTATTTTGTTTGTATTGTTGCAAATACACCACCCCCGCATGTCTCCACCTTCACAGCAGAGTCCTGCACTGGATCGGTGCTTGTGAGTAAGAAGGTATTCTACAGATAACTATCTTGCTCAGTATCTACTCTTTGGGGGGGTTAATACAACGTTAATTAGAATTGAATAGAATATACTTTATTTATCCCAGACCTGGGAAATTATTCTAAACAGCAGCATCCAAAAACACATAAACAAGTACAGAAAAAAATAATTAAGTAATATACATTCAGTGTCCGCACACAGCAGGTCCAAGTCAGTCAGCACCATGGCTGAATGTGGGGAGAGTGGTAGAGAGCCATGTATGGTTGAAGTCTGCTGGGATGACGATCAGAGACTGAGGGTGTGATGTTTGCAGCTGGGACAGTGAGGCTGCTGCAGCAGCATGGGGGGGGATGTAAACTGCAATCTCCAGGACTTGCGAAAAACTCCCTCGGCAGGTAAAACGGCCACAAACCAACCGCCAGCAGTTCAACATCTTTCGCGCAGCGCCGCTCTTTAACGCTGACGTGCCAGCATTACACCATCTCTCATTCACATACATGGCCAGTCCCCAGCCTTTCTTCTTGCCACTCTCCCTCCAGCTCCGGTCCGCTCTGACCAGGTGAAATCCGTCCAAAGTTATGAGCCAGTCTGAGGTGAGTTCGTTCAGCCATGACTCCTTGAACAACATGAGACTGCGCTCCCGATACTCCCACTGCAGCCGGGTCAGCGCTGTTAGCCGTTAGCTGTTAGCCGTTAGCTCTTCCAGCCCGTTAGGAAGTTAATTCATGCTTCCATGATAAGGGACGGACGGGCGGTTTGTAGCGTCTCCTCTCCTCCTGACGCTTCACTCCTGCCCTGTATTCCCCTCTTCCTCTAGCTCATCGGGGATGTCCGGTCCTTCCCACCACAGTGGCTTGGCCTGGCTCAGCGCCAACAGCTATTCACTAGTGTAAAGACGTGGACCCCAAAAAGTCGTAGAACAGACCAACAAAAACGCCGTCTGCCTCTCCACTGTTCCTACACAAATGTGGTACAGCTGTGTGAAATTAAAAATATAGAAGAAAAATCAAATTAAAAACATATTAATAATAATTACTGGCGAGTACTAAGGTAAAGGATAGATAAATAGCTACTCTTTGCGGGTTATTATGACGTCAATTAATCGCGACTACTAAGGTGAACTACACATAACTATCTTGCTCAGTATGTACTCTTTGGGGTTAGTATGACGTCAATTAATCGCGACTACGAAGGTAAACTTCAGATAACTAGCTTGCTAATTATGTACTCTTTGGGGTTAGTATGACGTCAATTAATCGCGACTACGAAGGTAAACTACGGATAATTTTCTTGTTCAGTCTCGACTCTTTGGGAGGTTAATACGACGTTAATTACTGGCAAGAGCGCGGCCTTGAAATTGACGTCCCGTCCAGCACCAGGCTCCAGGTCAGTCAGAGGAGGGTCGTCTTGGAGAATAGGGCAGCGACTTGCCGGAGGAAAGGTAGACTTATCAGCTTACGGTAACTCCAGATAGATTTTACAAGTTAAATAGACTTTCGCAAAACATGAATGTCCCGCTATTGTTACGTAGCATATCGGTATCTTAAGTTAATTGGGCCCGGTGCCAACTCAGTGTGGCTCACGTGAGTAAACTAACTGATTGCATTAAGCTAACATCTACACACCGTGATGGAACTGCTGAGTGCATCTTCAGATGAGCTTGTTCAGATATTTCTCTAAGAAGAGAAAGACACCTGATGAAGATGATGCTAGCCAGCTATCATTAGCCTTTTACTGACTCATAAATGATGATGGTTTGGTAAAAAATTAGTGATCACACAGTAATCAGATGTGATGTGAGTGTAAATGATCTAACGTTAATGTTTAATGTATAAGACCAGTAACATCAGACAGGGAGGAGCAGTGGAGCAAAGTGAAGGAGATCTGAGTGGAGGAGCAGGAGAGAGAGATGAGAGTAGAGGAGGAGAACCTAAAGGGAAGCTCAGGCTTCAGGATGGGACCCTACATGGGCTGAAAGAAATAGCTGCTTCCTCTCATGGCTCTACCACACTGATAATGGGGAGTGTCCGTGAACCTTTTGTCCTTTTTTATTTTTTTTTTGTATAATATACATGTCAATGTTTCTGTTAAATAAATCAAAAATAAAATAAATTCAGTGTATTTCCATTGTAAGAGCAATGATCAATAAAGTCACTGTACTCTGTCCTGATAGGAATGATCTGAATCAGGCTGCAGGGGATCAGCTGCAGCCTGGATGCTGCTGAGCCTCTCAGAGAATTTACCTACAATAGAGCCTCAGAGCTCTTCTATTTAAAAAAAAAAAACAACAAAAAAAACCTGAAATGAACTGTTCTAAGCCTGGGCTGCTGGAAAACATCGTCGAGGAAACACTGGTGGACACAGTTCTGTAGGATCTCATTTGTAGTAAATGTTATAATAGCTGCCACCATAGCGTTCATCTGGGGGTGAATATCACCATATACAGCTACAGTAAGCATTCATAGCAACGTTTTTATTATCATTTTTAATGTCGAGCCTTTGACCCACAAGCAGTTTCTGGGTGTTTTTTCGGCTCCAGTCACATTTGGCCTCGTTTTTTATTGCAACGTAAAGTCCTGCACCTCTATGGAAACAACACAATATATCATAAATCATTAAAAAAAGAAGTTTCTGTACTTGTCTCCTGTCTGCCTACATTTCTGCCAAACAGGCCCAGGTTTTTTAATCATATTTCTCTTGATCACCGCTGAATGACTTCCTGGTGCAGAAGTTTTATTTTTACAGTATTAAGTTTGTGCAAATGTTTTGTTAATTGTTTTTTAACCACAAAGTTTAAATGAGACATGTAGAATTAGGGGATTATGATGACATGTCATGAGTTTAAGCTTAGGTTTGGTTAATTTTCTGAACAGAGCAGCACGTTACGGAAGACAAGTTCAGATGTTCACTGCATTCTGAGAATACAAGTCTTTAGATTTTACAGTTTGCTGGCAGGTTTTTGAGTTTCAAGGGTTAATGTCAGCTGTTCACTTTGTTTTAAGGGAATACTTTTTTAATTTTTTTTAAAATTCCGACAGTCAGTTCAAACCTGAAAAATGTTGGACTGAGCAGTGCAGGTTAAAAGCTCTGTTGTTTGAATATGAAACGGGGAAACAATGAGGTCAGCAGCGACTGACACGAGAACGATTATTACAGAAATGAACAAAAGACCCAAACGAAGCACGATGGGAACAAGAAAGTTCTGCTGATGCCAGATCCAGGCTGCACGCTTCATGACTTCCATTAAACAAGTTCTGAAATGAATAATGTGCCACAGCTCCGTTTAATTAAACTCACAGTCACTGATGCTGTAGCGTCGCCATGGTGACAAGGTAAAAGTTCTTATTGGACTAAAGTGGCCACTAATATCTGACCTCACTTTCCTCGAGTTTGGCAGTCACACAATTTGAAATGAAATGAAAGCTTTATGCCTCAGTAATGAGAGCAGCAATTAATTATAATGAAACTTCAGCAGCGTAATGGCTCCATTCATCACTGTCAGAGCACGGCTGATGGAGCGCCCCTTCACACACGTATTTACATTTGATGAAATGATGTGAGCTCACTCTGCTCAGGTCAAATTTTAGTTGTTGCAACTCTTGTTTGTCGCATCCACCAGCAGAGGAAACTTATTTATCTCGTTTTTAGTATATCTCTCAGCTTATTTGTCTCCAGTTTAATCTTCCTCAGCAAAAACAAAAGAACACATTACGATAACAAAATCTAAATTGTGAGGGTAATTCTGAGAAATATTAGATTAATCTTAATAGAGCAGTCGTGTGCACATCCATTAAACTTCAGCTGCTAGATAAAGCAAAATCCATTAAGTTGCGCCGCGTACTGCAGTAATCCCTTTTTAATGCTGTTCTAAGCCTCCTTCCCTAATGTGGTGTCACATTGTGTAATTTGTTTTCATTCTCAGTTGCGCCGCTGATTTTCCACCTCGGCCACACGTGAGGGACAGAAGAAGACGGAGGAGAGAGTTTTGAGAGCGGTGATCGGCTTTGCTTCCTCTCCCTCCCTGTTCTTTCCCCTCTCTGCTTCCTCCTGCCTCCTCTGAATGATTGACGCCATGCCCATCGTGTCAGCAAGCACAGGTACAGCCACACATAAGCTGAAGCTACATGTTCGTACAGGTGGATGCTTCAGTGGGCCCGATAAGAACTACATGCACTGTGATGCTGCATTATGTTACTGATTGATTGGCGGAGCTAAAACGTCTCATCGTTAACAGCACGAATAAGATGCTTAAAGAGTCTTTCTGTACGTTTGCAGCCATCTCTGACTCTGCTGTGCATCCTGAGCTCCTCATTTAAAGTCACTACTTTGAATAAAAGTACCCAAACAGCAACCTGTTGGTAATAAATCATAGCATGAATGGTTAGTTTCTCTGAAGTCTGGGGGTGGAGGCGGCTTGTTACATATTGATGATGATTCATATTCGTTTTTTTTTTTTTTTTCGTGATGGAAATGGGCATTTGAATGGATGATTAATGCATAGGTCCTGTGTTTGTGTCGGATTCACAGGGCTGCATGAGACTCTGGCCCTGCTCACCTCTCAGCTTCACCCTGACGCCAACCACAAAGAGGACCTGGTGTTCCTCAAAGATGTCTTCAGCGAGAAAAGCATCAGTTACCTCATGAAGGTACAGAAAGCGTCGTGTCTGAGTAGAAGCGGCTGATGCGTTTGTGATCTCTGTCTCTTCTGTAGCCGACGACTCGAACCACGTGGTCACGCCCTGGACTTAAGATATTGAACAGTATAGACACTAGAAAAGAACCAATCAATCCCAAACAACCTGGAAAGTGCAACTGAAAAGTTTGTACACATAACTATTTCAGAAATACGTTATATTTGCAAATCTGTTTAGCCGTACATTAATAATGAACAAAGCCGTGCAGACTGTGTGCGTTGTGTTGCTGTGGGAACCTAAATGCATGTTTGGTCCTGATTTGTTGTAATAATAATACGTTATTAAGTCGCTTTTCCTGCCTGTGCTGCAGCAAATAGAATACAGATTAAAACATCTATTATTCTGTTGGCATTTATTCAATCAGTAGTTATATTTTCACTTTGATTCGGCCAAAAACAAAAGTGAGTTCAACGTATTCTTCACTATGGGACAGTGTCGGACCTACATGCACTTGTTGAGAGCCGTGTTTAAATGTCAGAAAGAGCTCGAATGTGCAGCTGTGGTGTTAGAAGGAAGCAGCTGCCTTCACCTCTTCAGACCCGGTCGACATCACATGTTGGGTTATATGACCACAGTAGGTCATTTTTTAAAATTTGTTTCTATTTTTGTTATTATTTTATTATTGTTAGTTATATTTTATTTATTTATTTATTTATTCTTTTTTATTTTTATTTTCTTCATATTTTTAATAGATTTTTATTTTCTTCATATTTTTTATTTTTTATTTCTCTTTGCTATTTGATCAGATCAAATAACAAAGAGAAATAAAAAACAAAAATGCATATCAAACAAGAGCTCGGATCCTCAGAGGTTCAGAAAACATATTTAGTGACTTACATGATGAACACTTTTCTACCAGCACTCCCTTCTTCTATCATTTGCAGCAGCAGCAGAGCCTTTAGCTGTAATATAAAAAAAAAGAAGTAACATCTTCACGGCTCTCCATTATGATAACCTGTTCCTCTTGACTGAAGGAGGCGACGTGCCATCTGTCAATTTTCTGTGGAACAAAAGTCAAATGATGCCTCGAACGCCCCCTTTTATGGGAGCACACACGGAGCTGAATGACCTGAAAACCTGGTTCACAGAGAAAGTTGTAAATTATCCATTATGTTTGATTGGGGTTTAGTTTTTATTAAGCAAAGACAGCCTGACTGTGTCAAACGTGCTTCACAGTTCAGCTCTATGGTGCATTGATGGGCAAACACGCATCATATGTAGGCTTCGAAGGGCACAATGAATATTATAATGAGGATATTTTACAGGGCTGCAAGGTGGCTCTGGGCTCAGCATCGTTACCTCGCAGCAAAAAGGTCGCTGGTTCGTGTCCCAGAGAGGACACCCGGGATCTCCAGCTTCCTCCCACACAGTCCAAAAACATGTTGAGGTTAATTGGTGATTCTAAATTGTCCGTAGGTGTGAATGTGAGTGTGCTTGGTTGTCTGTCTCTAAGTGTAGCCCTGTGATAGACTGGTGACCTGTCCAGGGTGTCCTCTGCCTTCACCCTGAGTCGGCTGGGATAGACTCCAGCCCCCCATGACCCTGGTGAGGATTAAGTGGTGTATAGATGATGGATGGATGATATTTTACAGATAAACTACCAAACAACTCTTCAAATACAATAATGTTTGCTTGTATGTTTGTTTTATTTACTTCGTCTAAATTCTATCTAAAGGACACTTTTAGAAGTGTGACGGCTGCTCTACCTTCTGGTGGAAAAACATGTTTTTTACCTTGTCAATGAGTCCATGCAGTGTTTTTTATATGCTGGACGACATTCGCTGAGCATTTCCATCTTGAAGTGACGGTGTACTGATGACAGTCTCAGAAATATGGATTTGGACTTCCAGGGTTTCATATGTAATGAACCGAAGGAAGCAATCTGGCATTCTTCTTCTTCTTCTTCTTGACAGTCTCAGAAATATGGATTTGGACTTCCAGGGTTTCATATGTAATGAACCGAAGGAAGCAATCTGGCATTCTTCTTCTTCTTCTTCTTCTTCACAATCGCTTTCTAATATTTTAACTTGCCATTGTATAGCTGTGGGCAGTTTTATCGTGTTTAAGCTGAGTCACAGGTGAGCTGGTGTGCTCGAGCTGTTTTTTTAAAAGTGGAAGATGGAAGAAACTTCTAAATATGTAACTTTGATACTCAGATATAGAAGTTTTTTGAGCTTAATCAATGACTGGAGAGAGACTTTTCACTAAAATTTACTACATTTGGTGTCACTAAATGTCTGTTTCTAAGTGTTTTATATGAAGACTGCATTTTTCTGTGTACACACACACAAATGACTGGTTGCTGCTGATTTGTTTTTCCTCCCAGATCCATGAGAAACTGAAGCAGTATGAGAAACAGAGCCCCACTCCGGTCCTGCACAGCGCCTCCTGTCTGGCAGAGGACGTAGGTGCAATCAAAGTTCATTTCCATGTAGAGTAAACATTCATTTCAACCCAGCCGATGTCATTTTGTAAAGTAAATATATTGTCTGAAGAGGATAATTTTCCGATTTCGCTCGTCAGCTGGCAGAGGAGCTTCAGAATGGACCTCTGGAGGACGACGAGCGAGAACTGCTTCTGCTGCTGAGCACTCCTCACCTCAAGGTACAGACACATTCAGTGACCTTCATCACACAGAAACTGGCTGATAAATGCGGGACGGTGTCTCTGTCCTGTTGGACCCAGACACTCTCTCATTCCTTCTGAGATTTGATCTCGTTAATGACGCCTCTTCTCAGTGTTTTCACCCTGAGCTGCTCTGATTTTCCTCCGAGTTGATCATCTATTACATAACACCAGCGTCACAGCTGTCTGTACCCCGTCTCCATCCCCCAGACACAGACAAGTCTGCCTAATTACCCTGATCAAGTGATTATGTTCAGGTTATTGGGTTTCTGGGGAGCTCTCTGGGAAGAGATGTGAAAGCGGAACACTCATTTGCAAAAGCAGTCACTGAAGGAGATGTCATTCCTCCTTTTATTTCTTTTCTCCCTGACTTTTCTTCACTCTAGAGCTCTAATGTTTTCTACATTCCACCTTTAATGGCTTTCTTTGGTGTATTGTCTTGCTTTTTCTTGTTTTTTTGTTTTTTTTATGTCTGTGTTTGTTGTTGAGGCTTTTAATTCTGACTCATCTCTGTGTATCTGTTTGTAAATGTCTCATGCAGGCGGTGCTGTCAGCTCATGACACAGTTGCCCAAAAGAAATTTGACCCAGTGTTGCCGCCGCTGCCCGACGATCTGGACGACGACCTGGAGGAGGAGTCGGTGAAGATCGTCCGCCTGGTGAAGAACAAGGAGCCGCTGGTGAGAGTCGATCCAGACGTGAGGGCGTATGACAGAATAAGAGCGCTTCCTTCCCTCGACTATTCTCATGCCCTCAAGTGAGGCTTTAAAAGTCCATTTACTTTAATGGAGCAGCTTTGGGGTTTTAGAGCACTCTGAGGTGTGATTGTGGGTCTAAAATAAATCCAGGAGAAAAAGAAGTTTCACAGCAACTAGCATGCATTAACTCCCTGAACCTCTAAACTTGTCGGTGGGTGTGGAAGGCACATTATCTTTAGAACATCACCAAAATGACATCAATTTTTAGAGCAAGAAACCGTAAAAACAGAAAGAATCTTCACGTCATTCTAACAGGAAAACAAGTTTAAGCCTAAAATGACTTTAATCTAAATCTCTAAGATTCTCTAAAAAATAAACCATTTGCTCTAACAGATTCAATACAAAATAGAAACTGCAAACAAGAAACCTTTAGTGACTCAGCTGTGACCAAAATGGATTCAGCTGTAGTGGCTGCAGGCAGACAGGAGACAAGTATGGAAAAAGAAATGAAAGCGTGAGTAGTAACGTCTCTATACTAAGTAGATTCACCATTCTTTAACGGTGTTAGTAACACCTGAGGGCTCTTACAGAAAATGTTGTAAAAGATGATTCCAAGTTGTTTAAATTTTTGTAAACAATTAAATCAGTTCAACACTGAGCAAAAGCAGAAATAGAGAGACCATCTTCATGATCAGGCATCAGAATCTCCAGTCAGGCAGCGTTGTAGTTAACTTATTGATCTTTCCCAACAAAGAACCACTGAGCTGCACACGGGGAGCAGCTTTCACCAGTCTGTCGCTCAGAGGATTGTACGAGCTCGGCGAACTGAAGATTAGATATCTGTTCTGATTTATTGTTGCATCTTCTTTTTTCCAACAGGGAGCGACGATTCGGAGAGACGAGGCCACTGGAGCTGTAATTGTAGCCAGAATCATGAGGGGAGGGGCGGCTGACCGCAGCGGTGAGACAGTGTTCATGCATCATATATGACAATTTATATTTCAATTGTGTTCTTTTTTTTGTTATCTCAAAAAAAAAATCATATATATATACAAGGGCACAGCTGCAGCAAAGGGACATGAGAAAATAATCTGACTATAGGCACAAAGTGAAGGAATCTGTGTTCCTCTTAGACGTTAACTTCCTACATGACAGGACTTTCTTGTCACTACTGATACACTGACAGAGAAGTGAGGAGATTACGTTGTGTAACCCCTTGAACTGTCAACAAAGATCAAATCCTTGAGATTAGCGCCACGAGATTGCATATTTTGAGATTACAAACGAGGGTTGGTCCCAGTTGTTGCCATGGAGATGATATTGACAACATGCCAACGGAAAATTGACTTTTTTGGTCACATCTGAGCCTCACGCTTTAAAAATGCTGCCAGTGCTACGACACATACTAGGAGTTTGTTTTGCTTGTTTTTCCTTTTGCTGGTAGACATGGTGTGTGTGTGTGTGTGTGTGTGTGTGTGTGTGTGTGTGTGTGCTGTGATTGTGTTTCAGGTCTGGTGCATGTAGGGGATGAGCTTCGAGAGGTTAATGGAAACCTGATAACCCACAAAAGGCCAGATGAAATTAGCCAGATTCTGGTAAGGAGAAAAAGGATTTTACATGTAGGATCATCTGATTTTTTTCTCGTCTACAAACATCCAGTGACTGCTGGGGAGGATGAATGATGCTGCTGCTCTGTTGTTTTTGATCAGTCTCAGTCACAAGGCTCCATCACGCTGAAAATCATCCCAGCTGTTGCAGAAGAAGACAAACTGAAGGAGAGCAGGGTGAGGACTCTTCTTTCTGCTTCTTCTTCTTCTGAAAGACTCAACAAGCAAATACTCCAAGACTGGAAAGTGACAATTTTGTGTAACTGATACTAACAGTTGCTGGAGAACGTACCACTTTTTTTAAATCACTGTCTTTCCACCTTCTGAAGCCCAAGGAGTTTTCTGTGTGTTTTTTAAGCTCCTGTCACATATTTTTTATTCATTGTGGGCTCATTTTTCACTGCAGTACAACGTCCTGCATATCTATAGAATCAGCACAACTGTGACTAGAAGTAAATAGAACTCAAAAATGTTTTTTTTTTTTTATTCAATATAAAACACTGATAATGCCATAAATCCTAAAAATATTGAATTTCCTTTTTGAAAAATTGCAAAAACTTGAAATCCACATGCAGGTCTTACCACTACTAGAAAAAAAATGGTGGCTCTATATACCATAGATATTTGATTTAGTTTTTTATTGTTGTTTCCATCCTTGTTTCATCTCCCTTCTGTGTCAACACTGCCTGCAGCTCATCTGAAATCTTTCGGTCAGGTTATGGCTTCACAAGATTTTCTTTTTTGTTGTATGGCAGAATTTTTGAAAATTCTTAAAAGAGATATATGGAATAAAGTCCTTTTGATTCAATATTACAAATTTAAGCCTAGATTTGGTTAGCTTTCCATCGAAACTGCACGTCAGTTTGTTCGAGGAGTGTTGGTAAGTTAGAAATCTAACAATTCATTTTGTTGCTCTGATAATTGGTGGAATTTTACAGGCCTTTAACAGACAGCATGCCTTTCAAACCCACCAGCAGGTTTCAGTTTTCAGAGGGTTAAACACATCAACTGTATATCAAAAATGGATGCAACAACCAGGACGCCACACATCTGTTTGTGGACTACCATTTTGAAAGCCTCCAGTTTGGCACTTGGACATCACAATCTTAGTTTTTTGAAACTGTTCATAATGAGCAAGTGGTACATGTGACTGAGAACCCGAGGGCACTACATCCGCCCATGTAGTGGCAACTTTTCAAACACAAGGTAGCCCCGTCCTAAAATATACCCCGCTCCATTGTATATTTCACTCTAAATGGACCATTAATTAAATTAACATCATACTGTATTTAAAAAGTCTAGAAACCTGCAATTAAGACAATCAACTCATTAAGAAAATGTTTACTGAGGTAATAAATCAAGTGGGAAGTAGGTTCATTTTCTTATAGATTTTTATTCAAATTTTAATTGTAAGTATTTGTCATGCAATAATTATAGTGTGCACTCATAGTGTGCACTGAATTCCAACAAGAAATAAAGTCTCTTTCTGTGTCATCCTTTATTCTTGTGCAGTTGTTTTCACTCCCAAGAAGCTTGTTTTATTTCTAGTGCAATAGATATAGTGTAAACAGCATTCATATAGATCTAAATGCTGCCTCTAGTATTAGATTTTAACATTTATTATTTATTTACGATATTATTTTTATGTTCCTTTAGGTTGTTACATGGATGTGTCTTCATTTGGTTGTATTTTACATAATAGAATATCAGTAAAGGCTTTCTGTTCTGTTCTAAAAACCAACACTACAACAGAGGAGGCTGCACTTTCAACATCAGCGTTGTTAGTTTTCCACTTTGGTAGGTGGTGCTGTCCCAAAACCACAAGGGTTCCAGAAATGTGGTCCTGAAAGTGCAGCTGTCTCCATTACAGACACAAACTACTGGTTGATTCGCCCCCTTCTTGTTAGTAGGAAGAATGCAGGTTTAAGTCACTTCCATGTTGTCTTCACTTTTAAACCTGGAGGCTACGTTCATGTTTTATATACAGTCTGTGGTTTAACGAAGCTTGTTAGCCTAGCTTAACTTAGCCTAAAGCCTAGAAAGAGCTAAAATGGTTTTGTTTGAAGGTAACAAAACCCACCTGTAATGTAGCATCCTGGTAATTTTATCAGCACAAAAGCTGAAGTATATGAACAATAAATTAGGGTTTTCTGAGGGTTTCTGTGCGATAATATTTTTTGCCTGAAAGCAGTGGCCAAGCTAACTGTAACTTCCTACTTCCAGTCTTAATGCTAAGCTAAACTAGCAGGTTACTAGCATCATATAAACCATACAGACGTGAAAGTGGGATCGTCAAGCAAGCATACTTGTATTTAACCAAAATGTTAAACTCTCTCTTTATTGTATGAAGTGAGTGAAGTTCCTAACATTAACTGAAGTTGCTAACAGACGATTCCTTCTTATTAAAGGTCTACCTTCGGGCTTTGTTTGACTACACACCGTTTGAGGACAAGGCCACGCCGTGCCAAGAGGCTGGACTACCTTTTAAGAGGGGAGATATCCTTCAGGTTGTGAGCCAGGAGGACGGCACCTGGTGGCAGGCCAAGAGGGTGGGCGACTGTAACCTGCGCGCCGCCCTCATCCCCTCCATACAGTTTCAGGAGAGGTACTTTGCATCTGCCGTGTATAGGATTCGAAAATGTCTGCTTTTGTTAAAAAATCAAAAATCCACTTGTTCTCTTTATCCTCCCAGGCGACTGAAGTACAGGATGAAAGTGGGCTCCCTCCCTGCCCCTACGACCCTCAAAGCATCCACATGTAAGCCTTATTTACCTCTGAAAGCACAAATGATCTTCTGTGACCTACAACCACAAATGTACAAGAAGCTTAGAGCCACATGGACAGCGTGTATTGTGGGTGAAATCTAATCTATGCAAAGAAATACAGAAACAGAGATTATAGAATGAGAAGAGTGGATATGAGGTTAATCTCTCGGGGGGACAAAACTGAATCCATCGTTTCATTTCCTAATCCAATTTAAAAGTAGAATAAAACAAAGTCAGTTCTTTTCTTGGATCTGCTCTATTGCATAAAAGCTAAACTCTTGAACTCTCACCAAGTTGAATAAAAGGTTTAGTTGAAATCCTGCAGCATAGTGGTGTGTCCTCTTTGAACACTTCTTCTTTTCACAAAGAACTCAGCCCTTATCTTCTATAGACTCCCTTTAGTAAATCTATTAGGTGGACATGAGCACTTTGGATAAAGAAAATCAGATAAGCTGGCGGATTTCTAAGCACAGATATAATTTACATATGACATTCAGAAACAGTTTCATAGTGACTCTGAGAAAGCGTACCTCCTTATCATACACCTTAGGAGGTAGAGAACAGTGCTTGTAGTACTCTGCCTCTACAGTGATACTGTGTTTTATTTCTTGCAACCTCAGATGATCGGACTGAGAGAGGTACGTAGACGAGCACTCACATTAGCAACCATCTTCCATCCCTGGATCGTGTTTTGATGGCTGAATTTCTTTATGAAATTCTCATCAGTGACTCATAAAACTCACAAAAACACAGATTCTAGTTAATCCCCCTCCTCCTCCTCTCATTGTGCCATTTTTTTTAAATTATTTTTTTTTCGCCCTTACAGTTGCCTTCATACCACAAACCTCCTCGTAAAGTGTTTAACCTGCTGTGTTCACATCAACACCACCCTCCCCTCCCATCTGCTCCTCCTCACCCTGTCTTCTCTCCCTGCTTTGCCATCCCACAGAGGACTGTGACAGTAAGGGTGCTCTGAATGGAAAGGACATAGGTGAGGAAGCGCAATCAGTGAGTTTGTACCAAATCGCTGCAACATCACATTTTCTGCTCAGTCTGTGTGCTGGTTCATGCTTTTCTTTTCGAGACTGCAAACTGTTGCTGAGGTGTTAATGGATTGTGCTGCTGTGACGGTTTTGGTAGTAGATGTTGAGGGTCAGGGCAGATAACACCTGGGGTATTCCTTGATTTTAGACCTCAGCACTCTTGACCTAGAAAGTAAAAACTCAAACACAGAGGAAAGCGTGTTCACCCGTTTGTTTGCCAGACTTTCTGAGGGTATTTTCATGTCATTTTCAATCATGCAGATTGGTAGGTGCAATATCTGACACATTGGTTCACTCTGGTGTCACAATGCATGATATTGGATTTTCTCCGATGTCCAATATGCAGATAGCTTCCAATGCATCGAACCCTTTTTTTACCTTATTGCAGAGAAGATCAGTTCTCTCCTGCATTGGAGTTAACATGTTTTCACACTTCCTCTTATCATGATGCAGACATTAGATGCAATGCTTTTCAAATGCACACATTTACTGAGCAAAATAAGAAAACTATTCAGCTCACAAGTATGTTTCAAACAAAACTGTAAATTTGATCCTAAACCGTGTTGAGCAATAGTTAGTGTCATCTTATCTTCAATGTGCATTTCAGACTGATGCCAGTGTTCGATTTTAAAGCCTTTTCTGGCCTTCAGTTTTCTCATTAGATTCCTTTATTACGTATTAAGTGACTTTTTAAGAACCGTTTCATTTAATCATTTTTGTATAAGCTTAAAAGAATACATTTTAGTTTTAAAACGTTATTAAAAGTGTAAATTATTTTTTAACTGCGTGGTTTTTTAAAAAATGGTATCAGTGCGGCTCTAGAGATTGCAGCATTCGTCAGTCTACGACTTTTAGTGAGGCTGAAAATGGCACAAATGCTGCACAAACATTCATAATCCCAGTAATCAGTAAAATGTCTCAACTATTGGATGGATTACACCACTTCCAGGGCACACTTTCATGTTCCCCTCAGGATGAACTGTAGTGACTTCAGTAGTTGACCTTTTCCTTTGGTGCCCTCATCGACTCATCATGTCACACTTGTGTAACTGATCAGTTTGAGTTGAACTGATTAGTTGACAAACAGTCGCTGATTTTTCTGTATTCTAGCATCAGGATTGGTGCGTTTCAGTGTATTTCATGCCCTCATTTTGTATTTTTTACAAAAAACATCACGTTATTTCAGTGGGTGTGATGTTCGACTGGCAGGCCTTTTGTCCTGTATGCTGCAGCCACCAAGCTTCTCTCAGTGTCTTTGTGGCGCCTGATGGCATCTCATTGTGCTTGACAAGTGGCCTCTCCTCATGCTACATGCTAACGGTGCTTTTTATTGTGTTTGACTGAGAGGTAGACGCAGCATGCATGGCTTCCAAGCTTCTATTCTGTTAAAGATTTAAGCTGGTTGAATAAATGGTCTAATATGAGCTGTAGTTTCTCCCAAGAGTAAGGCAGCTCCTGCCTTCTGTGGCCATGCTTTCTCATGGGATTTTTACTCAGGTACTCTTACTGATTTCTAATGGTGTTGTCCAGTGTGTCTGTCTTGTGTAATGTATGACACAGGATTTGAATTTTAATTGGGCAGAGCGAGGAATACTGATTTGATGTCGATTTTTTTCTCTGTCTTAAACCTAATGTCAAGGTTTCAAACTGGCAGTGTGGTATTTATTTTTATAAGGACAAGTACGTAGGATGAATCAAGGCACATAGCATTTATACCCTAAGCTGTGCTACATGCATGTCTTTGACTACAGCCAGCCTTCGCCGAAGTTTCCGCCTCAGGAAAGATCGTCAGGGTTCACCAGGAGAACCGCACACTCCAGACAGCAATCCCACCGACTTCCTGATTTATGAGGAAGTCGCACAGTATTTGCCCCGCCCTAATGAGAGGCCCCGCCTTATAGTACTGATCGGTAGGTCAAGAAATGACACTTCAAAGTTAAGCCGGGATGTTTGCATGCAGGTTGGTTTTGTTAATTTTTCTGTTGTTTGTTTGGTCACAGGTTCACTTGGAGCTCGGATCACTGAGCTCAAGCAGAAGGTGATCGCTGAGAATCCTCGACAGTACGGTTTGGCTGTGCCTCGTACGTCTTTAAAAACATATTTCCTTCGTTTTTTTAACTAAAAGTTGAATGTATTTTGTGCAAATAACTTTTGGGTCATTCCATCTCATCAAATTTTTTAAACCATTTCTGCTTGACCATGTCAGATTGGCCTGACATTTTTATAGCATGAAATATGGATATTCAGAAAGATACATGTTTATTTATTTATTCATTTATTTATTTGCTTGATATATCAAATACTTTTCAAGAAAGAGTTTTTCTCTTTTTTTTTGTAATTACCCATCGACCCACTTTTAGCACATTTTTTTGCACATTGAAATTTAAGGCTATGTTTGAACAGCGATGTCTCGGAAAGTATTTAAGATAAAGCTGGAAATTTCCATTGTTATTTTCACGTTGTGTCACTGATTCAGAATCAATATTGGACATGTAGATAAATAAACCATTCCATCCTCGAGCACAATTTATCAAAGAACATTGATGATGCGCGTTTCAAAACAAACCACGGAATACATTTTAATAGAAAATACTCGATCACAAAAATGAAAGAAAAAAAATTATATTTATTGAACTTTCATAACTCATTGAGGAAGTACTACAGTTGTACCACAAAAACCACAATATTTTTAGACGGGTTAATACAAGTAGAGCTGAGTTCTGGATTCTCAAAAGTTCAAAAGTATTTCATATGAGAATGTTTTCTGTACGTTTTACTCTGTATGATTGTTACTTGCAGCTACATGTGGTTCCAGAAATACCACAAGTTGACATCTAGCAACTATTTGATCTACTTTTCTGATATTTTAGATTCTGAATCGATGGCAGGATGAGAAATGACTGTAAAAAGGCTTTTATTTTAATAGTTTCTGAGATATTGTGGTTAAAACAGCCTCAAATTACTACGGGTGAAAAAATGTGCTGGAAGTGAGTCGAATTTTTTTAAAATAGCATTTCGGAAAGTACTTTGTATATCAATCAAAAATTTTACAGATAGCATTTTCAAAATCTATAGTTTACAGTGTTTCAAGAAGATCAGAGATGGCCGAGCAGAAGGCTCCTGATGATTTAAAATGGAATAACCTGTATGCGTAAAACTGTGGCACTCTGTTCCAGACTGTATTTGCATTGATTTTTTTTTTTAAGTATCTCAGCAGCAAACACACAAGTTTTTCCATGCATTTGATTACTTACACTCACAGAGCCAAAAACATGCAAGCATTCAGCCAGTTTCTTATTTTCCACCTCGTCTCCTGCTGGCTGCTGGAAACACACGGCCTGAAGACACCACTCGAGCCAGGAAATGTCACGAGAGAGAAGGAGTAGAGTACCACTTCATCAGCAAAGCAGCGTTCGAGGCCGACATCCAGAGTGGCAAGTGAGTGTTGGCTACAATATCTGTCTGATTAAGTGCAACAATTATCTACTTTATGCTTAAGAAGGATGCAGAAGGATTAATTGAAGCTTTCCAGAAATGTTAATTACTTACCGAGAGCTGGTGCACATTAACTTCGTTGCCTGAATAATTCATGACGCTGCTGTGTTTCTGCAGGTTTATTGAATATGGGGAATATAAAGAGAATCTGTACGGTACCAGTTTGGAGTCCATTCACAGAACGTTGGATCAAAACAAAGTCTGTCTGGTGGATGTGCAGCCAGAGGTTAGTGTGGAAATGTACATGCAGCCCTGCCAACGAAACACACTTCTGATTTCGTAATTCCATGTGTTTTTAATTCAGTAAATGTTTCAGTGCAGTACAGACAATGAGGCTGACACTGAGTTAGATATAGATTTTTCTTTTTTGTAACAAAGTAAATCCAATTCATCTGTCGCTTCGTTTCTTAGGTTCATCTGCCAACAGAAAACCACAACAATCTGTGCAACACTTTGCAGTTCTTTGTTCATTTCTCACCATCCAGATTAATCAAATAGAAAACAATTTTGAAGCTTTCACTATTTATTTTTTTACTATTATTATTTCACTCTCAGTGTATTTTTTAATTGTTCTTCTTTGGGTTTGTTTTTGTGTTTTTTTTTGGTCAGAATTAGATTTTGGAACAAAAAATATAAAAATGACTCAATACTCTAACTTTCCATTTCTGTGGTTTGTGCCTGTAGTTGGACTGTACCATTACCTCATGGGGGAGTTTACAGACGGTCACAGACTCACATTATGTATTATATAGCGCATCGGACTGTGCAGTCATTTATCGGCTGCTCTGTTTTTGGAGGGTTTGGAGACATTTATGATAGGGATGGACTGATACCTCTTTTTGATTTCCGATACCAATACCAATGCCATCTCTCCTCCTAAACTTCTTTGGAAATACCTTATTTGCATGGATACATTTGTTTAAGATGGCTTTATCAAAAGCCTCATACTATTAAAGCATAGACTTTGCTTTTCTAAGAAAGGAAAAAA